ATATATATATATATACTTATCTGATATCTTATCCTGTACATATATATATATACTTATCTGATATCTTATCCTGTACATATATATATATACTTATCTGATATCTGTTTCCCAAAGAGTGAGAAACCGAAAATGAGAATAAATGTGGCCTAAAATAAAAAAAATGGTCTAAAATGGAAAATGGTTGTTTTATCTTTAAAAATTGTATTAGTAATTATTAGATTTGAGAAACTTTTAAAACGATTTAAAATATAATTAAATCAATTAAAAACTGGTTTTTCAGATTTAGCATTGTTTGCGATTTTATCAATATAATGAAGACGACTTTTATTCTAGTTTTAATTGTTTAAAAGCTTTTTCTTATAAAGGTTTACAGGTAACTAAAGAAAAGCTTTTTATAATTTTACAATTTTTATAATTTTTATAATTTATAATTGACGTGGGAAGAATTATAAAGTTTAAAAATATATTTTTTTATTTTAAATGGAAACATACCAGTAGAGGTTTGCCGAATAAATAGCTCTTCGGTAAATTTCTCCTAAAAAAAATCTTATTATTTTCTTGAAAAAAAAAACTTTTTTATCAACACCAACCCTCCTTTCAAAACCGTGTTTTTTTATCCAGTATATTAGGAATGTGAGAAAAAAAGCTTAGAAATAAATAATACTTAATAAATAACAAATATTAGGAAAAACTAATGATTTTTACATTAATTATTAAACAAAAGTATCAAAAACCAATTTTTTTTTAAATATCCTTAAAAAATGCATGAAATGCAAAAATATATTTGAATCCGAATAGTGATGCAAACTAAATAGAGGGTTCTCGACCATCATTAGTTCTAATATAATCCAATACAGACGGAGAAATAATAGATACACAGGAAATTTATAAATAACAATGATTTTCTAACTAAAATCCATTAACAAATTAATCATTTGAGGCAGAATCAACATAGGGGGAAAGATGATTTTTTTTGGCAAGTTTTTCAATAAACTTCTAAAATTACTGTCAGTAAAAATGTTTTTAATCTTTGTGAAGAAACAATCTCAAGAACTGACGAGGGTCAACCCAGACCGAAATATGTTTTCAATAAATGTGGAACTAACATCTACTTTTTTACTCTACAGAGGTTTGGTCCATCACCATCACTGAATTTTAAAAATATCTATATAAGTAAGTCGCAGGAAAAAAGTTTCTAAAAAAATCCTGAAAATAACTCGGGGAAAAAAGTCAGAATTTTCACATGTCCTTAGAAAAAATGTAACTGGAAATTGGGACTTTTTTCCTAGAATGGTGTGCAGGGGCGTAATGGAGGTTTAGCCCAAGGGGGTGCAATTTTTTTTTGTGCAACCCTCTAATAAACGTATTAGGAAAAAAATTAAAGCTTAAAATCTATATTAATCTACCCTTACCATAATTACCAATCATACTATTGTAAAATCTAGTAGTAAAAGTGCAAAAAACTTTGATTTGAGGAAAAAATTGCATTTGTTAGATGCTGAAGGGTTGGCTCAGTACTCAATAATATACCAAACTATTATAATATTGATGGCTTGTTCTTGTGTTTACAAAAAATATACAAACAGCTTTAAATGTATACTGTCAACAGGTTGTTAAACCCTAACCTGGATCTGGATGAGTTATTTATTGAGTCACTAGCGCGAAGCGACAAAAAATTTCTGTTCTGCATGTCTAGGGGGGCACAGGGGTACTGGCCCCCCTCGCTACGCTACGCTTCTGATGTGTGGAGTTTTCGCCCCCAAAGTCGTTTCATATAACTTTTTTGGTGGTTTACCTGAAAAAAACGTTGGTCTGTTTCTGTCTATATACGAGTCCTCACTCCTCACAGCCTTCTCAAATATCGTAAACACTCTCTTTAAAATCTACCTGTTCATTGGCCCCCGAACCCGCTAACAAGGCCAAGAAAACAAAAACATCTGGAAACTTCATGGCTGATTATTGATTAGCTTATCAATGTTGAAAGCAGAATGAGGGTGATCTTACTGAAGAAGTGTATTAGCTTTCCGCAGACTCAGATAACCTGGAAAATTTATCTGTTAAAAATAATACTGTGACGTGTTCTCAATAACCCAGAAAAATATATATGATTGATAACTTCAAAGTCGTCTTTGACCTCCGATAAAGCTTTTGACATTCAATATTTCAATATAGGTAACTTGATTTTAAAATTTCTATTATGAAACAATAATCACAAAATAGCCCTAATCCTGGGAATTCCAAATTGTTGTATGTCAATTTTTTGTTTTCAAAAATACCAGAGATATGAGGAATTTGTTTTAAATTTCAATTTATTAAATAAAATTAAGAAAATGAACAAAAATGGCAAACCACATTTGGGAAATGGCAGGACTAGAGATATTATGTGATTGTTTCATAAAAATATATTGTTAAAACATTTGCAAACAAGATATTTGATACTTTTTCCAACCTCCAAGAAGTTCTAAATGGTATAAATGATATTTACTAACATATATCTAACAACTTACCCTGTTCAACAGTGAGTTACCTATATTGAAGTCGCAAATTAATCCTAAGGGTCAAAGGCGACTTTGAAGTTATTATACAATTTATATTATTCCTGGTTATTTACTTTGTTTACTTGTTAGCTTGCAGTTTGGAAAAGCTTATTAGAAAAGTCGTCTTCACTGTATTGATATAAACACCGACCACTGTATAAAGATATACAGTACACCCCTGGAAATACCTTGAACAATATCACTTGGAAGTCTCCTAATTTCTTGAAATTCTTCTGCGTTGCTATAATTCAATCTGGTCTGGGGGTCCGTATATACAGCTTCTAATCCTATAGAACGTATTGAACTTTATAAGGTTGATATGTTCGATTCAAAACGGTACCCTTAATAAAATCTATGGCTAAAATGAACTAAATGTCAAATATAATTTCTTTGAAACTTTATCGTTTTTAATTGTGGTTTCTCTTTTCATTCACGTGCGCATTTCTACTTCAGGAACAATGGAGGAAATTGTCAGATTGGTATTTTTATTATTAAAAGTTTTTTAAAAGGCTCACCACTAAGATCTGAATACTTTTTAGAAGGTTTAAAAGATGGAGGTGCATCAAGGGATGAGTAGGTTACTGCAGTTTCAGGCCAAGAAAGGGTTTGCTCCTATATAAAATGTCATTCTTTAAAAAGTTGTAAAAAAAAAAAAAATTGATAAGAGGGGGGAGGGGAATTAAGGGTGGTCCAAAAATCGTTCTCTAGGAAATTACCGGATCATGCATTTGTTCGAAACTTAATCCGAAGCAAATTGAAACCAACCTGAGCTAAAATTTGTTTCAAAGTTTTCCAAGGTTTTTTCTTCCCGTTTGATATATTGCTGTGTTTAAACTGATTATTTTTAAAAGGATACGATGGCGGTTTGTAGCTTCCAACTTTCTCCTCTTCAACGGGCATCCTTAGAGCACATCTTATCTGAAAATGCAAATTTTACATAAAAGGTAATTTCCTAATTACCGATTTTTGGAAATCGTTCTCTAGGAATATACCTAATTATAAATTACTGCATTACCATTACCAATAATTTTCTAAAACTTTTTCAACAAGCTCTAAACTAAAATCTTAATCAGCTGTTCGGTGTTTGCGATAAATCCGTTGATTTCCAAACATTCTACAAGTTCTAATAAAACTCCTAAAAATATAAAAATTGGGCTAAAAAGTATAAAAAATAGTAATATATCAAATATTTGTACTTATCTTTATCATATTATAACTTAAACTGTGATAATTATAGTGAAATAAGTGTAACAATTGACCGTGAATTCTGAAAATAATTTACTAGATTTACTTACAGGATTAGAGCATATTGCTCTCGGAACACCACGGAACCGTATCACAAATGTATTGATAAATATATTTATTCAAGCTTAAAACCTTTGTTTTTTCAAAACCTACAAGAAGTTTCAACTAAAATACAATTTTTCGATCAAATATTTTATTTCTTCAATATTTTTTTAATTGTGTCTTATTAAAATAGTAAATATATTTCGGACTATTTCTAATCAAATATTACTCCGCCTTTGGTGTTCCGAATGTCTCTTCCACTTTACACCAACCTAAATCATTCGCTTGAAACTGGAGGGACAGGAAGAGAAGTGCAACGATTTCGTTAGGATTATTTAGCATAATTAGTTCATTTTTCTAGTGCTACTGAATGTGTAGGTCTTTTAATCAAATCTTTATAATTTTGCGTTTTTTTCCGAATTTCAAGTTTTGCCTACGTTTTCAGGTTTAAAATGAAAATGGTGACTTCTGAGGAGGGGCAGGGGTTGAAGAATGGGAAGAAGGGATCTACTCCTGGATCCCCTCAACTCCTTCAACCCAACGGACAGGGTGCTGAGAGCTCGGAGGACGAAAGAGAAGGTATGTACTGGAGTCAAGTGAGAGTAGTTGAAAACTGCTGTGGAAACCCAGCTTTGCTTCAAGTTTTCCCAATTAAAGTCAACCCACCCATCTAGAAATTTTTAAACCTCATCGGGTCTGTCCATGAGAACGATTTTGGACACCTAGCGGCGCTCAGCCCCCCTCTCCTGTCCTTTATTTAGCGTTTGGCCCGGAAATTGTCATAACCCAACCTAATTCTTAACAAATACAAAATAAAAAGCTGTCGTAGGTCCGATATTGCAGCGTAGGTAGGAAAGTTAGGTCAGAAGTTCAGTAGCTCGATATTGGGTACAGACATGTAACTTTACCTTTTGATTCCTTGATTAACCTATTTGATCTTGTTCTAGGGCGTATTCGTGTAGGCCGAGAATACCAAGCAGTCCCGCCCCCGTATATACCCAAGGTTGACCGGCGCCCTGATCAGTGTGCTGAGCGTGCCCTTCTTGTCTGGTCACCCAGTAACAATATTTCAACTAAGCGATGTAAGTACTTTTCCCTTGGAGGGGTTAATATTAATTTATGAATATTCGAGGGTGGGGTGGAGGGGGGGTATGATATTCGATATCTGAGAGAAAAAGATATAGTTTTATTTAAATTTATACCCCTGAGATTACTGTTAAGGATGTTAAAGGGATATTATTTTCGATAAAATTCCCCCCCCCCCCCTCCAAATGGTCTTAGCATTTCTTTAAAGAAACAAGTTTGGACAGAAATTACATAAATTATCTATTATATTCAAAAAGAGAGGTCCTTTTTCATTTCATGTAAGATCTTATTCCAGATCTCAGAGTTGCTAAGTCTCTACTAGTTTAAATTCCACACCTTAAATTAGAGAGTAATTTGCGAGAAGCATTTTTGTATGTATATATATAAATGAATATTCGTGTGTTTTTTATCATTATTACACAATTTTCTCAGATCTGTACCTTTATTGTTTCAATAAAAAGTTTGAAAGAGAGAGAAATTACATAATATATATATATATATATATTTATTTCAGTGGAGGAATTTATCCAGATGGCGAAAGAAAAATATAGTTATAATGCTGAACAGGTATACAGGGTGTCTCACGAATCATAACAGTAGCAAGCCGACTTGTAGGTCGTCTTTGACTTTAGAAATAATTTTGGGCATTAATACGTAAACCAAATTTAAGAAGAAAAATTCTAGAGTTAATAGTCAACCCTAGTTCTGGCATTTCCAATATTACCGGAGATATGAAGAGCTTTGTTCATATTTCGTTGATAAAATTAAAACCTGAAGGGAATTCTGAACATCTCCGTTAATATTGAAAGCACAAAAAAGACGACCACTTTTTGGAAATAAATTTTAAAATCAAAAACGACTCTAAAACTGTCTTGTTAGTGTCATGTTTTGTGGAACACCCAGTAGTTAAACAAGAAAACAACAAACACTGTTCAGTATTTCTAGTTCAGAACTTTATAATAGACGGAATAAATGTCGCACCTAAACTAATTTAAATTTGTTTCTTTTATTCAAAAGTTACCAGCTTTGAATTTTTTAATCTGCTCTAGGGGGGGGGGGGGATTTTTGATGATTTGGGTGGAAAATGAAAAGTTGGAAATCTAATGATCACAAGATGTAAAAAATGCAAAGAACCTGAACAGTTTCAAGAATAAACTAGATGAATGGCTAAACTACTGAATGGCCAACATAGACAGAAGATCGAGATGTTATAATTATCACACCAGTGATACAATAGCAGAAATACACCAATTAAACCAATTAAAGGCTATTTTTTTTTCATTCTTTTTAATACTTTTTACCAAAAATTTAATTTTTTCCGCCTAAAAATTCTTAATTATCCCAATAACAGCGAATAAAACCCTTTCAAAAAATTTCGCTTGACGCAAGCATATATAACTTCTAGGGAAAAACATGTTTTAAAAATGGGGTTGGGAAGAAAATTTTTTTTTCGACAAAATATATATGTTATGTTATCGTATTATTTAATTTTTTATAGCTTTTGGTGATACGATTTTACACTAAAATTAACAAAAATATTTTTTATTTATTTTCCCCAACGATGAAATCGCAACGACAGGAAAGTATTAGTGAAGAATGTGGAGGGGAGGGGGGATATCAGGTTTTGCCTCGTATAGAAGAAAAAATATAAAACTGTTGTAGTTCCATGGTAAATCCTTCCACCGAATCAGGCAGATGCTCCCGGACAAGAGTATTGCAGCTCTCGTCAAATATTATTACAGCTGGAAGAAAACAAGAACAAGGTATTTTACCCTCTCATCAGGAGTGTATATTTCCCCTCCCCCCCGCCTTTTTTTTTGAAAATCAATTTTTTTAGAAAGTATTTATGCTTTTTTGGGTATTCGCTGAATTAGGGAATATAAAAGAATTTTAAGGTTAAAAGTTTTTAAAAAGTATGAAAACAAAAATTGCCATTTGATTCGCAATTATTCATAATTTAGTTCATTCACTCTATTTACCCTTAATTTAATCAATGTTATCCGCTTTCAAATCCATTGATCCATGACTTCATCCCTCGTCCTCCATTTATAATTTAATCCATAGTTCCATGATCAATTTATACAAAATTTAGTGATTATTTTATTTCTCCAGGACCAGTTTAATGGACCGACATGCAAAGAAGTTGCAGAGTGTTCGTGATGAAGGAAAATTCGGCGACGAAAATTTCCCAGATCCGTCGGACGAAGAGGATACGGAGAAGGAGGTGAGAGATATATTCATAGGTGAGATGGAGGAGGATGCATTCTTTCATTCATCCTTTAATATGTCCTTTCATTCATTCTTTAATATGTCCTTTCATTCATCCTTTAATATGTCCTTTCATTCATCCTTTAATATGTTCTTTCATTCATTCTTTCATCCTTTTATTTATTAATTTATTCATTCATTCATTCATTCTTTCATCCTAACATAAAAAGTACAAATAAACACCCGTGAATGTAGCTGAAATTATAACTTTTTAAAGATTGTACATGTAATTTAAAGAGATTGTACATGTAATTTAAAGAGATTGTACATGTAATTTAAAGAGATTGTACATGTAATTTAAAGCAGCGTGTCCATTTACAGTGTGGTTTGTCTGATACACAATGGTACCCTTAAACAGTGTTTTGTCAAAGACGAATGAGATATCCGTGTGGTTTCCTTCAAAAACTGATTCCATTTTGGTGACACAGTGACTTGTGATTTTCGTTTAAGTTCTTCAATGCTATTGATCAGAGCAAAGTTTGAAAAGTACCGTTGTGAATCGTGCACAGTTGCTTTAATTTATATTTGTATCCAGACAGTTGGGGAAAAGATGGAGAACTGTATAAACTGCGGGATATCTTGTCATTCCCCTCAACCCAGTTCAAGGTAGGTTGGTTGTTTGATTGGCTGCTTGCAGTGCTTAGGATCCATTTAATTTTGATGCGGATCCGGATGCTGGATATACACTGGTAAAAGGGATCCAGGTCATGAACATTTCTTTAAAGATTTTTGAAATTTTTTTTCTTTTTGTCATGCTGAAACTTGATGAACCATTCCAGATAAGGAAAAATTGTATTAATCTTTTTTATTTTTGTTTTTGTTTTTTATCAGTTCAGATTTGAGTTTAGAGAGCAAAATATTTTTGTTTGTAGTTATGGTTGATATTTTGCCCCTTGGATCCGGGTCTGGATCCACGAAGCCAAAATGTTGTAGATTCAACGGATTCAGATCCCAAACACTGCTTGCTTGTTTATTTGGCTCCGGTTGGTTCGTTGGTTGGTTCGTTGGTTGGTTCGTTGGTTGATTGGTTAGTTGGTTGTTTGGTTGGTTGTTTGGTTGGTTGGTTCGTTGGTTCGTTGGTTCGTTGGTTCGTTGGTTCGTCTACTCTTTTGGATGTCAAATTTTTACTTTTGTCGGTTTAAAAGCAATGCCTCTGTCGGTCATTCAAGCTAATGAGTTTTAAATTTTCTTGATATTAAAAAAAATCTAATTGATAGAAACAAATTTATTTATTGTAGAGGAAACCTGTGCGGAACCTGTCATCTGTTTTGGAACAGGACCGGTCAGGTGGGTCATATTTATCAGAATATAAGGGGGGGGAAGGAAAATGTAAATAAAATAAAAAAATTAAAAAGAAACGAAAATGCAAACTACGCCGTACAAAATCTATCAAGTGCTCTCACCAAATTTTTTTTTTTCTCTTTTAATGACAGTATTTTTCCATGTTCGTAATCAACACATGATTTTGTGAGTGTTTCTTTTGTCTAAGTTTTGCGTTTTTCCTGATTCGTTCTTCATAAATCATAATTGAGTTTGTCGGTACTTTTCCAAATTTTCATTAACTTCAGGGGTGTATATTTTCATCAACTTCAGGGGTGTATATTTTCATTAACTTCAGGGGTGCATATTTTCATTATCTTCAGGGGTGTATATTTTCATTAACTTCAGGGGTGTATATTTTCATTAACTTCAGGGGTGTATATTTTCATTAACTTCAGGGGTGTATATTTTAATTAACTTCAGGGGTGTATATTTTCATCAACTTCAGGGGTGTATATTTTCATCAACTTCGGGGTGTATATTTTCATCAACTTCAGGGGTGTATATTTTCATCAACTTCAGGGGTGTGTATTTTCATTAACTTCAGGGGTGTATATTTTCATTAACTTCTGGGGTGTATATTTTCATTAACTTCAGGGGTGTATATTTTCATTAACTTCAGGGGTGTATATTTTTTGGAATTCATGGGAATGAAAAATTGGTCATTAAACTTTCATTTTTTTAATACTTTTCTTTGTACCAAAAATTTTTTTTTTAAAAATTACGCCCGTTCTTTGTTTCATGGTCCTTACAAATGTGTTTGTCTGTATGTTTGTTTGACCCACCATAACTCTAGAACCCCTGGACTGATTTGCATCAAATTTAGATAGGGTAACTCGGGAGACCAATTGGAATGTTCTTAGTTTGGTTTTGAGATTCCAAAATGAGCGGGTCCACTTTTAACGGGGAAAAAACTAAAATCATAATTTACGACTTAGCGTGGGTAAACGGTGGGACGTACTATGACTTCAGCTAGGTTTGCAAGCTATCCTTAATAATCTTATTATTTAGTTTCGACCGACGACGGGTCCCTTACGGAAAGACGGGTTGAAACCGAACAGATCGATATTTCGCAATGCGACCAGACCTCCGAAGGGAATGCATATAAACCACGACGATCTAGTAAGTATTGATTGATTCATTCATTCATAGATTCATTGACTTATTGACTGCCTCATTGAGCTCATTGAGCTCATTGGCTCATTCATCTTAAATAAAACTTTTATTCAAATCAAATTCCGCAGCAGGTGGACTTAATAGCTCCCATTTTTAGCTTTAATATAAAAAAATGTTAAGAAAAACACAAAAAGGACAAAAGACAAAATCAGTACAGCATGAATCGAAGGTGGGGCATGGGCAAGGATTCATAACGTAAACATATATATTTGGTTTTAAATAAGAGCTTGGGCTCAAAGTAAACAACAAAGAAAAGGATGAGTGCGTATCTTAACGCTGGAGCCCATTCCCTGGGAAAGCACCTGTCTTCTCTGTGTATCGTGCACCCCCTAAAAAGATAATCATAAAACATTAGATCCAGATCAAGATACCAAGTAAAACAAAACCTTAAATAACAAAAGAAATAAACCTATTTGCACATGATTTCCCATCTCCTATAGAATTTCATTAAGAGCTCGGTATTCAATGGGTTACGATTTTTTTTTCAGATGCGCTGATAGAATTTCTGTAAATATCTATCTTAACAATTTAATATATTTAAAATCTTTACAATACAATACATGAGTGTTTATATACCTCGAAACTCTGCTTTAGATTTTCTATAACTCTGTATAGGTGTCGCTGGCTACGGGCCCGAGCGGACAGGGAGATTCTCTCCTCAAATCCCTAGACAGGGAAATTCTGCAGTACAAGAGAACTGTTCAAAGCAACAAACAAACATTGTCAGGACTCCGCAAAAAAACAAAAGGTAAAATAAAAATTCTGTACTTACAATTCTGAATTATATCGGAATGTGCATTTTTATTGTATATTGTTCATTGTTCATTGTTCATTGTTCATTGTTCATTGTTCATTGTATATTGTTCATTGTATATTGTATATTGCATACTGCATCTATCTAGCTCTCAATTGGGATTTATTGTGATGTATATTTTAGGTCGTGATATTGATCCCTACCGTATCCCTGAACCCTCAGCCTCTAGAATAAACGCTAGATGGACAAATGACGAGCATCTCCTTGCTGTACAAGGTAAGATTTGGGGAACAAATTTGGGGACAATAGGGGGAGATGAGTATAGGGTGACGAAAAGGTAAACAAGGGGAGATGAATAAGATGGGAATACAGGACACGAATAAGATGGGAATACAGGACACGAATAAGATAGGAATACAGGACACGAATAAGATGGGAATACAGGAAACGAATAAGATGGGAATACAGGAAACGAATAAGATAGGAATACAGATTAAGAACTGGAAATACGTTGGGATTATTAACAATATAGTTTATATATGCTCAATACAGGTTGTAACAATATAGTTTATATATGCTCAATTGGGAAGGGGATACCGTAGAACTGAAACTAGGAAACCCTAATAAAATGAAATAAACATGTTTACCAGTATTAAACCTTAAGTAGGATAAACTTAATATGTTAATGCATTCAGAGGGTTTNAGTAAATGTAAGCAACACGATGTTCTAAACTGTGTACCCTGAAGGATATATTTAACAATCTAGAAGAAGTTCAGCAAAAACAGTCCAGCCACAAAATATCTGTAATTTTCCACTTAAACAAACAAATTGTAGAAAAACCAAGGTTTTCCTTGCGGGGGAAATGATAAAGATCAATAAAATTTGCAAATAACTTGTTTTCAGAAATAATTCTTGCAATAACAATGATACCTTTAAAAAGAGATCTTTTTGAATCTCTTTGAACTGTCCCCCTTACCCGCTTTAGAATGAAGAACGTTTTTTTTTATAACAAATCAGAGAGACGAAAGTATTCATAATATATCTTGATCAAGATCCGTTTGTAAGGTAGATAATTTTTGAAAGTTTGAAATTTATATAATTTAAAGATAATAATTTAGTGATTTAATTATGATGCAGTTACGGTCATGGCGATAAAATCTCCGAGAAACAAAATGGCCGTCTTCTCATATTCAAGACATGTGATAAATCTGGTCATAATTAGTACAAGCAGACCTGTTTCCGTGCGCTAATTCTAGCTCCAAGCGCCAGGCTTTGTATTTATTTAGACATTCATTACAAGAATGTAATTATGTAATTACAGAGGCGAAGACATTTTATTGCAAGTTACAGAGCACGTATACCGCATGTAATTATAAAATGTTTCTTATATGCGCGCTTTAAGAAATTCATAGATTATCAATTTTTGCGAAACAATTGATTCATATAATTAAAAATTTATTTATTCAGAAAGTATTCTTTTTGTTTGTTATCAAATCATAATAATTCAAAATGAAAATGAGAAATTATATCAAACATATTCTTGTAAAAGATAGATTTTCTGTTTATTTAGAAATATCTTACGTTGAAAATTTATGTCCATAAAAATAACTGACTAAAATATTATAAAAAAAACTATTTTCCTGTGTGCAATTTCTTTTGCATCATGGGGGGAGAGAGGGAGTGGTCCATGAGAGGGGGGGGAAGGGTAAGGAGAGGGGGGAGTGGTCCATTAGGAAGTACCTTTTCGTTTGTATTTAACACCCTTATTTTCTCCATTTACATCCCTGTACTTACATTCCTTTAAATTGTAAATGGCGCGCTCCAGGCGATCCAAACCAAACATTTGTTTGAAGGAATCCATCTTGAAATTTAAAAACACGAAGAATATTTAGTTTATTAACATTATACAGACTTTGTATTACACCTTCTTATATACACAGCGCCATAGGCATTCAATTAGGAGAGAGGAGGAGATGGATGAGGAGAAGGATGGGTAGAAGGATGAGGAGAAGGGTGGGGAGAAGGATGAGGAGAAGGATGAGGATAAGGATTAGGAGTAGGATGAGGAGTAGGATGAGGAGAAGAATGTGGAGTAGGATGAGGAGTAGGATGAGGAGAAGGATGAGGAGAAGATTCTTCTTCTTCTTCTTCTTCTTCTTCTTCTTCTTCTTCTTCTTCTTCTTCTTCTTCTTCTTCTTCTTCTTCTCCTTCTTCTTCTTCTTCTTCTTCTTCTTCTCTGTTGAAAGAACCAAAATTGATCGAAACAAGATTAAGATTTAAAAGAATCTAAGGGGACTGTTAGCCTAATTTCAAGTTGCCCATTATGTAAAGATGGTAATGTCCAATTTAGAACGGTACCTTTAAAAGATTTGTCTGATGAATTTTAAATCTATTTTGTGGCTTGTTAGTCAATAAGAAACAATGGAGAAATCATCAAAATTTGACACTGTTAGAGTTAGAAAAGCAGCGACGATATCTTCCATATTTTCCATATTTCCACCCTGTAAAAAAAATGGAGGCACTGATCTATTTATATACAGGGTGTCCCAAAAAACATAGGAATTCAGTGACGAATTGGATATCAGTCAAAACATAAACAAACAAAATGTGAACATAGCAGACGAAACTCTTACAGATTACAGCTTTCTCAGTAGGTATCACTTTACTAAATCAAAGAGTTATTAAAAAGACGACATCGAATTCGTCACTGAATTCCCATGTTTATTGGGACACCCTGTATAATTAACGGCCTATGCTTGATAGTACAATACAGTTATAAAAATGAAGATTATACATGATTTTATCTCCAGTCTTGCAAATTCTGATTTCTGAAGTTTATGTTAATATTGAAATACAGATAAACGCAAAGTTTTACAATTATTAAGTTACTCCTTTACCACTCTCTTTTATTGATTTCTTCCTACCCCCCCCCCTTCGCTCACTCCCCCCCCTTTCGCTCACTCCCCTTAAACTCCCACCCCATATTCCCTCTGTATGCTAATGATACTAGATTTACATATGCACTCTGCTCCTGGTACGTAAATCGACTGGGATGATTTGATTAGGTTCATATTGAAATTTTCTCCGGTAGTCTGTATCAGAGATTTATATTTATCATCAAACCCTTAAATCCAGATTCTAGAAATCCCCCCCATCCCTCCCTTCTTTCCATCCCAATCCCCCCCCTCCCGCTTCTCCATCCCAATAATCTATCTCATTTTAAAGCTTTTTCATGTTCAATCTTATGTTTTTAATTTTTTTTCAGTTTCATGTTTCTTCTCTTTTTCTCTTATATTTCTTCTTTCTCCTTCATCTTTTCTTTCTCAATTCTTCCGTCTCCTTTATCATTCCTTTCTCATTTCATCCGTCTTCTTTATCTTTCCTTTCTCAATTCTATCGTCTTCTTCATCTTTCCTTTCTCAATTCTATCGTCTTCTTCATCTTTCCTTTCTCAATTCTATCGTCTTCTTCATCTTTCCTTTCTCAATTCTTCCGTCTCCGTCTTCTCTCTCTTTTCTTTCTCAATTCTATCGTCTTCTTCATGTTTCCTTTCTCATTTCTTCCGTCTTCTTTATCTTTCCTTTCTCAATTCATCCTTCTCCTTTATTCTTTCCTTTCTCATTTCTTCCGTCTTCTTTATCTTTCCTTTCTCAATTCATCCTTCTCCTTTATTCTTTCCTTTCTCAATTCTTTCGTCTCCTTCATCTTTCCTTTCTTAATTCTTCCTTCTCCTTTATTCTTTCCTTTCTCACTTCTTTCGTCTTCTTTATCTTATCTTTCTAAATTCTTCCATATTCTTTATCTTTCCTTTCTCAATTCTTTCAATTTCCTTTATTCTTTCCTTTCTCACTTCTTTCGTCTTCTTTATCTTTCCTTTTTCAATTTTTTCATATCCTTTATCTTTCCTTTCTCCAGTCTTCCGTCTCCATTATTTTTCCTTTCTCAATTCTATCGTCTTCTTCATGTTTCCTTTCTCAATTCTTCCGTCTTCTTTATCTTTCCTTTCACAATTCTTTTATATCCTTTATCTTTCCTTTCTCAATTCTTCCGTCTTCTTCATTTTTCCTTTCTAACTTCTTCTGTCTCCTTTATCTTTCCTTTCTCAATTCCTCCGTCTCCTTTATCAATCATTCCTTTCTCATTTCATACGTCTTCTGTATCTTTCCTTTCTCAATTCTTTCATATCCTTTATCTTTCCTTTCTCAATTCTTCCAATTTCCTTTATTCTTTCCTTTCTCACTTCTTCCGTCTTCTTTATCTTTCCTTTCTCAATTCTTCCGTTTTTTTGTTTTGATTTTTAAGTCTATTTTATCCATTTTATTTTATCCTTTTCTAAAATAATGTTTCTCCTTTTTCCTTTTTTTATGTTTTTTATTCAATTTTGATGGAATTTTCCAACGTATTTTTTATTTTAAACAAAAATTAAGATTTTATTTCTTTTTTTTTAACAAATAATCAATAAACTCTCAACGAACACATTTAAAACTAGTTAATATAAAGTGAAATAATAACCTTTCAAGTTTTCTATTATATTTTCTCTCACCATATAATATGCAACAAAATCCAACGTTTTTAAGATAAAATGCTGAAATATGGCTTCCACCTGTATATTTCTAAAATTCATAACTCTGCCTGTATTTAAGAAGCTGTAAACCTGAAATTACGAGGAATAAAAGTTCCCGAATTAATTGATTTGTATTAGAAAATATCCGCCAGAGCAGATGCCGCAAACATAACCAATACTTAAACAGTTTACGGTTGCAAAACTGTCAGTTTAGACAACAATTAACTTTGCCGCAAACACAGGCTATACCATGGATCCAACTAACAGGGGCGGATACAAGGGCAAGGGGGCTATGGGGGCTAAGCCTTTCCTGGAAAAGTGAAAACTATGATTTCCAGTTTTTTAGTACCTATCAGAGGCGTGGAGCCCCCCCTCCCCGAACAGGTTCCTGTATACGCCATTGCCCGCTAATATACTTTTTCTGCCACCAGATGGTCCCACCTCGTCTTTGCAAATTATCTGACGGAATTATATAAGATTTGCAGAGGGTATTTTTGCAAATTGGTATTTCGCAAAGTGTCGATTGTTCTCCACGGTTGTAAATCGTCAGTATTGGGGGTGTATCAGGGCATTTAGAGACCTATACAAGTGCGAAAGGCACCTGGTTCCCATTTTTATTTGCAGACATCAATTTATTGCAGCAATTTATATATTCATGAACCAAGTTTAAAATGTAGTTAAAAACACCTTTAGATTATTAGATAAGGTAATATACAATTTTTTTCTAAATCCATCTATCTATCTTGATGTACAGTTAAACTAGAATAACTGTACACAAGGAATTGTACAAT